AGCACAAGTGTTTTCTCGATCTCTCCAAAAAAAAAAACCAGGAAAAAAAAATCGATGAAGAAGAAGAAGATACAGTTCTTGAGCTCAAGCTCAACGTGTCTTATATTCAACCTGTTAACAACAACTTTAATGAAAGAGATAAGGTTTGTTACAGTTAACCGGGACTAACCAAACTTGAATCGAACCGAGAGCAAGCTGATTAAACTGAGTCTCAACCATAACACTTCAAACCCTCTAAATCCATTAGAGTCTTCATTCTGTTGACTTCTTCTAGACTGTTGACTTGTGTATTTGGCTATATTTCAACAGTACCAGAGACGCTTCAAAGAAATCAGATTCATCCTCCCTCGTCGGAGATGTATATCGAAAGAAGCTCTGGCGATGCTCGGACCTTCCTCTGCCTCGATTAAAATTGACCGGAGCTCTCTCCGGTAACATCTATCAGCCGGCGCGGTGGTCACTCACCCCGACGTCTCCCCTGGTTTACGAAAAGCATGAGGGTTGGGCTTGGCCCATGCGGAGTTTTAAAATTGGGCTATGCTTAGATAGGCCCATCTTCAATGGCTTGGGCTTGGCCCAGGAAGAATATCAAGTTTGGGTTATTTAGATTGATAGGCATATCCTAATGTTTTTAAAATGCAGATTTTAAAAAAAAATTATATGCTTTTGAGCTTGTTGGCTTCTACTCTTTGAGAAGAACAAAGTTTTTCTGGATTCTCAAATCATGTAGTTTTTATTGATGATACATCTTCTATTGAGAGAAGATAAAAGTTTTATAGATTCTCAAATCATGTAATTTACTCCCGGTGAAATATTTCAATTCCACCTTCTTCCATCTCTTTGAGACTGGTCGTATCTTCTTCCCTCTCTTGGAGAGTGGTCGAATTCCCGAGTTTTATACTGGGATCTTCAAAGTCACATTGGAAAGTCACCAACCTGAGACTCTACGGCTTTGCCGCGAAGACCATGTTGACGCATCTTAGGCATGACTTGGATCTGTTGTCCATCTTCTACGATGATCTATCTGCTCTATGTTTTATTGCATTTCAATTATGTTGTAACAATGTTGGAGGATGCTCAATTCCCTCATTTTGTACTTTAATCAGTTAAATGAATAAAGTAAACTTGTTGACAAAAAAAAAATAGGTACATATATATTGAGAAGATATAATTATAATAAATTCAAATCATATTTTTAAAAATTCTATATACACAAAAGTTAGATAAATTATCCGTGTATGTGACTTATTCAGGTGAAAACTAATCCAAATAAGTTCGGTACTACAACTTGTGTCTAATGCTAAAAATTTTGATAATTATATACAATTAATATTTTAAACATTTGTTCGACCAAAAAAAAAACACTTGTTCGACCAAAATTTTATTTTATTTTCATTATGCATGGCTTATAT